ATTTTAACGTAAAAGTCTGAGTCCATCTGAGGAAGAAAGAAATAGAAATGTATTAAAAGGGAAAAAAGGGGAAGGGAAAACTTCATGAAGTGGTTCATATGACGCACCATTTTATATTTTATATGAAATAAGATGTAAAGTCTGTCCTCCAGCATCTGTATTAATTAATCCTCGAGATAAAAGATTGTTAGACAAAATATGAAGGGACCTTCTCAAGACCTTGAAGGAGGAAATAAACTTTAAAATCTTCAATTGTGGAAAGTTACCAGAGAGAAATTAAGAAAGTGATTGTACATATATTGATTTATATATATATATTATACATTTATATATATATATCAATATATTTATATTTTTATTGACCCTCCTGTCAAGATCTGGACAGTAAACGCATCTCCAGCTTTGGCCGAATGAAGGAAAAAAAACTAAGTGAAAACCCCCAAAAAACCCAGAACTATTTTTAATGATGACTCAAATAACAGATGATCTGATTGGGTAAGCGGATGTAACTGCTGCTTTCTGCTTTTCTCTCTGTCAGAATATAGAAAAAGCACAGTTTTACACAATCAGGTAGTTTTTCAACCACTTTCCGAGCTGGAAACACTTCTGTAATACCTTTATATTTTCTATCTGAGGTCGTATTGACCTGATTTTAATAGAAAAAATTAGTAAAAACCGACTTATTTCTCGTTTCTTGACTGTAAATATGTGATAATGTGTATTTTTGCCGTATTTTTTACTGTAAATATTTGATAATGTGTATTTGTGCCCACAGGACAAAGAACTGCTATCAGCTCATGAATATTTTGGGTGTTTTTGTCCTGTCTCCATGGTTGTCTTGTCATTTCCTGTTTTATTTTGAAAGGTACATCCCCTTGTTTCAGGCCTCTTTCACTCCCCTGTGTGTTATATGTTTGCTTTTCTTCCCTGATTGTGTTACCTGGGGTTACCTTGTGTTTAAATAGACTGTGTTTCCTCTTTTGTTGGCCAGTTGGTTTCTTCCTCCGTTTTACTGAGCTGAACCAAACCATAAAACCTGTTTTTTCCTCGTAAGATTTTGATTTCGTACTTTGTAACTTTTGTCATCCTCCTTTCAGAGTGAGTTTTTTTTTTAATTTGTTCATAGCTTCGTCTGCCTCGTTTAAAGAGATTATTATTATTTTTGTCAGGTTTGGAACTCAAGACAGGACTCAGATGCAGAAAAAGGTTTTAATGGAAACAAAAACGCACTCGCAAGGAGTGGAAACAAAGTATATTTATTTATATTATATTTTGATAGTTTGTCCACAGTCTTGTTTTTGCCTCGTTTACGAGCGATTTTGATTTCATACATTATTCATAGTTTTGTCTATCTTGTTTTTTACTTTGTTTCCACTCCTTGCGAGTGCGTTTTTGGTTCCATTAAAACCTTTTTGCCAAGATCTCTGCGTCTGAGTCCAAACCTGACACAAATAATAATAATCTTTTTAAACGAGGCAGACAAAGCTATGAACAAAGTACTAAATAAACTCACTCTGAAAAGAATGACAAAAGTTACAAAGTACGAAATCAAAATCACTCTTACTAAGAAAAAAACAGGTTTTATGGTTTGGTTCAGCTCAGTAAAACGGAGGAAGAAACCAACTGGCCAACAAAAGAGGAAACTCAGACTATTTAACACATTAACAACCTCAGGTGAAAACAATCAGGGAAGAAAAGCAGATAT